CGTGTTTAAGAGTCCGTGGTTGGTGGGAGGTGTGGGGAAGAGAACCCGCCTACCTCCGGGTGGGCCGCGATGCGCTCCGCGCGGTGGTGCCGCTGACGCTCCGGCCCGGGTCTCGCTCGCAGGTGCTGGGCGGCGGACAGCCGGGAGGAGGAGGAGAACGGGCCCGCAGCCAGCCCCTACGACTACAGGAGGCTCCTGCGCAAAACCTCCCAGCGCCGGCGCCTCGTCGAGCAGGTGTAGCCCGGCTGCTGGGCAGCCACCGCCGTCGGAACGTGCCCGAGACTGCGCGCTGCGGGGGCCGAGGCGGGGAACGGTCAGGCGCTGGCACCACCAGGCGCCGAAGCCGCGGCCCTGACCTTGGCGGGGCTGCCCGCTGCGCTTGCCCCTCGAGGGCCCGGGCGAGTCTTTGCGGCTCCGAAGGCGGAGAACTGAGACCCCTCCCGCACCCTGCACTGCCACCAGCCGGCCAGTTGGGGCATCCCTGTGCCTGACCCCCAATGCATCTCTTTGGTCACTTATTTGCGAGTCCTTCTGTGGACCCGACTGCTCCTGAGCTCTCGCCGACCCCTCCTTTGTCATTTGAGTGACTTCAAAGATTTCTCCTATCTTGGCTCTCCCAGGCCCGCGGGACACTGAGTCTGTGAGAAGAGAACAAAGCCTGGGTAGGGGGGAACCGGGGTGGGGTGTAGCTTTGAAGACGAATTTCATCTCAGACTCGCGCTTTGCCTTCTCTTGGTTATTCAAGTTACTTAATAAAGGAAGTACCTTGTAGAATCCGTGTCTTTCGGGGCTGGTGCGCCATATTCCCCTTCGGGGCCAGGCTCCTGCTGTCCTGTTGTGCAGGTGGCCCTGCCCCGGGGAGGGTAGTGAGGAGCCTTCTGTCTCCATCAGCGTACAACCCCGCCCCCCAGCCACCCCAAACAAACATACCATCCGAGTTAAAACCCCTTACGACACAAACGTGGCCTCCCGACAAATCCCCAATTCGCCCACACACGGCGGGCACACACGCACATTCACAGATACACACACCCACACAGCTTTCCCAACCAGTGTGGGTGGCTTTGGCCCGCCTGTAAAAATTCTGGTCCAGCCACTGAGCTGAACTGTCAGATTTTTTTAGGTTCTCCTAGTCTGGAGATTTGAGACCATCTCCGGTGCTCCGAATTTTGCTGTATTTGAGATGGAGGGGAGGGCAGTGGGTGGGCAGAGGTTCGCATTCTTCGGTTGACTGCATCTTATTTTAAAACCCGGGTTAAGCTCTTCTATGCAGCTGACTCCCTCCTGGTCTGCGCGGCCTGGAGAGGGTAAAGAAGAGAGCGCGGTGATTTCATGGATGACTGAATAGCAGAAGGCTTCTGGCTGGGACAGGCTTGTCCCTTCTGTGGGGTCCCCCGGCTGCTGCTCCCAAGAACCCCGTGCCCAGGGGGGAGTGAGGGTGCGTGCGGCCGGCTGATAACGTTTGATGTGCCGCTTGCCCACTGGGTGTAATGTTCTCTCCAACCCAAAGCATTGGCGCCCGAAGGTCCCCAGAGATGAGTCGTGCCTCTTCATTTTACAGATGAAACCCCCGCGAGGGCACACCTCCCACGGTGGCGGGCTGAGCTCGGGGTCCAGGTGCGCTATAGGCCCTGCTCTTTTCCTGGGTTCGCGCCTCGGCCTCTTCTCGAGTTGGCACTCAGAGGGAGGAGCCACCCCGGTTGCTGTCCAGACCGTTGGCTCCAGACTCCGGGCTGCAGGCTGGGCCTAGCACAGCGAAACCAGCGCCGCGGGGCACCGTGCCTCGGCTAGGGTGGGGAGGTATATCTGCAACCCGAGGTGACGCGGCCCGCTCCGCCCCAACCCACCCGTCCACCCACCCTCAGGAGGCCCCGGGGCGGGGGCGGGGGGTGGAGGGTCGAGCTTCGCTTCACTACCAGGCCCCTTCTTCAATCCAGGCTCCCGGAGTGGCCCCTGCAGCCCAGAGCCCTGGCAGCACGGCCCTGCCCTTGCTGGATGGGGAGGCAGCAGGCCCCTTCCCTAAGCGGCCCCCACTCTTTCAAGTGGAACTGGACAAAAGAATGGCAAACGTTTGGTGAAAGGTTGCAGTGTTTTTATTGTCCCTTTTCCTTTTGTATTCCTTTGTTTTTCTCCATTTTCTTTCTCTCTCCTTCTTTCCATCTCCCCTTCTTTCTCTGTCCTTCGACGTTTAAGCACTGGGAGCACAGCAGGGAAAACGTGTACCAGGCACTCTTCTTTGGCGGGACTGCAAGACGATCTCTGGCTAAACCACGGACGAGAAATAGGTCAACCAAGGAACTCGGCCGGCGGGCGGCCCCCCCGGAGCGCGGGTCTCTCCCCCCTTATCCGGGGAGGGGCCTTCGAAAGCCTTTCCTCAGCGCTGGCCGCCTCCCCTTCCCATTCGGTGGCTGCCTCCTTTGTGAACTAATGACTGTAATTATTACCTCCCTGAGCTCTTTTGTTATCTCCAACCCCCAGCCCGAGAGAGGGGGGAGTGGGCCCTTTGGCGAAATGGAAATCTTTATAAAGCAAATTGCCGTCTAGGGAGGGACGGCGTGAGGAAAAAGAGAAATCGGATCCCCGTGTGCATCTGAAGTAGGGTGTGTTAAATAAAAAAAGCGTAAATACCTCCATTACACTCAAAGTACTCCGGAGCTACGGGATTCAGTGGAGTTTAAACGGTAGCGTTTTAGGTCATTGCGTTTAAAAACAAAATCCGTTAAATCCAGGTGTTGCGATTTCTGCCTTCCCAGTGCTTTAAACCACTTCTTCCTTCGGGGCTTTGTGTGTGTTTTAAACAATTGTTTTAAAGAACTTTTATATTGTCGACCCCTCCTCGGTAGTAGAAAAGTTCTGCAGCGCCAGCCTGACGGCTTGAAGCAAAACATTGGCAGGATTCGGCCTGGATTTAAACAAAGAACCGGTCTCTCCGACTCGGATCTGGAGCAAGAGCTGCGGAGCAGCCCTGCCCGCGGCGAGGACGGCGGAACCGCGAAGTCCTTACATCCCTGGAGTTGTTACCTGGGTCCACCGGAGCACTGGAGCCGGGAGCGCCGGAAAAAGCGGCCGGACTGGGGCCTGGGTTCGTGCCCCGCGCGCACCGGCGGCCTGGTGCTGGCTTCTCGGCACTGCCAGCTCTACGCCGAGCCTGGGGGGCCCTGCCATCGCCCTTCCCCGCCCCCACTGCCGGGCCTGGGCGCGGCGGCAGCGGCGCTGATCCTACGGATCCTCCCGGCTGGGGCACGTGGGAAGAGGACAAAGCTTTGTGGAGACAATTGACCAGGGCTTCGCGGGCGTGGGGACACAGGACATGGGCTTGCACGCGGCCCCCACGACGTCCTTCCTAAGCGAGAGTCGAGGGGTGGTAGCCAAGACTGAGGATCCTGAGTGTCTGCTTTGGCAGCAACTTGGGTGACTCGGTTCAAGAGGTCAAAGAAAGAATGGACTGTGAACAGAATGGAAGTGAAAAGCGCTCGCCTAAGGGGAGCAGCGCGCGGGGAATGCGCGCCCCGGGAGGCCGGACGCGGCCCTCTCTACCCCGGCTCCTCCTCCCCTTCTCAGCGAGTCCAGGAGCGGCAAGATGTACTTGACGCTGATCTCGACTGCCAAAGGAAGGCAACGCGAACTCGGCGACCCTCAAGTTCTCAGGGCGCCCTTCCTTTGTTTAGCAACGTTTAGAGAAAGGAAATTGTAAGAGAGGAGAGATTTTGAGTTTCTCAGGAAAGGACAAACTCCTTCTCACCCGGCCTCAGAAATAGCGAATCTCGCCCTCCCGCCAGCCCCAACCCACGCTATCGTGAAGATTCTCTTGGGGTGGGGGAAGGTCATTGATTTGAGGCCCTCTAAAACGAGGGCCCCGCAAATGATGCCTTCTTTCCGCCTCGAATTTGGAAAGCTCAGATTGCTTAGCTGGAAACTGTGCACGCCTCCCACGCACACACCAATTCCCGTCACGGGTAAGCAGCGGGCCATTCCATGCCTCCGCGAGCCAAGGTCACCAAATGACCCGATCCCACCCCCCTCAGCCTTCCATCCTGCCTGCTCTAGCTGCTCTCCCTCGCCCCCTTCCAAGAAGTTTCCGTTCGTTTTATTTTTTTCCCCAGCCTGAGGTCCTCGGGGATAGACTCCAGCATGGATTTTAATTGCCTCAATCAGCAGTCTCTCCCCAGCCGTCAGTCTGAACCTGGACAGTGGGTCCGGCGACCGCGCTCCGAAGCGCAGGAATAGTGCGCCCCCGGGGACCGCGCGGCTCAGTAGGCAGGCATTAGGCTCTACTAAGGAGCCGAAATGAGCCCATCAGTGAGCAGGCGCCCTTCCCCCATCGTCCCCTCCCCAAGCTCCAGAACCGATCCTGATTCCTGCCCAGCTGCCCGGGCTCTCGAGGTCACAGCGACCTCAGCACCCGAATGGGAACCGCGTCTCCTTCCCCGCAGCCGGGGCCAGATCTCAAACAATATGCCAATCGATGCGTATATAAGACACTCGCCTCGGCCACCCTTCCCGCCTCGCCAAGGTCTCTCGGGTCTACCCCTAGCTGAGGCCAGCTCGCGGTGAGCCGCGTTAGCACTCTGGACAGCGCATCCCCGCCGGCGGGGGCCGCCTGCAACCTCACGCCTCCGGCTCTCCCGGGGCTCGGCGGCACGCCTCCCACCCACACACTCTGACTCCAGTTCGTGCGCACTACCTACTTCGCACCCTCACGATTCAACACCCTCCCTCTCCCGTTTTTTTCCTCCACCGCCCCCTCATCCATCCCTATCGGGCTCCTTCTCCTTCAAAATCACTCGGGCGATCCGTGCTTTCTCATCTGCCGGCTGTGAAGACCCTTCGGTCCTCTTCCCTGTTTAACCTCCACCGCTTTCAGAACGTTGCCGCGTCTCCAAGCCCTAACCCCAACACACGCGCGCACGCACTCAGAGACACGCACGTTCCCTGTCCCTGTGTGACACCCACTCTGCCGCGCGGCCCCGCAGGTCCCCGTGCGGTGCCCTCCTCCCGCCACACACGCACACACGCGCGCGCGCGCGCAGGGCCGAGCCGAGGGCAGCTCGCCGACAGCTCGCACTCGGAGGCTGCCTGCTCCAGTCTCGTAGCGCAGATGGCATCTCCCGGCTCCGGCTTTTGGTCCTTTGGGTCTGAAGATGGCTCCGGGGATCCCGAGAACCCTGGCACAGGTAGGAGAACCGGGACCTGCAGCAGGCAAGCTTTGCGGATGGACTGGAGTTTGCTGGGCTGGGGGAAGACGAAAGAGGTTTTCCCATCTGCAGCAGTAAACTTAAGACGCTTCGCCCTGGTCTTGGGGTAGGTCCCTGCTGGTCCAAAACACCAAACCCCATGCAGGTCCTTATTCCCGGGGAAGAAGCCCAAAGAAATATCGGGCCCTTTTCGCCAGAGTCTGGGAGAGCCCCCCGAACACGGAGGCGTCTCTTCGACACCGAATTCCACGGGCCTGGGGCACTGCCACCATCTTGGTGTCTGGACCCTGGAGAGAAATGGAGTATTGGTGGGGAAAGGAAAAATGGGAAAGAGGAGAGAATTCTTGGTCTGGAAGGAGAGCCTGCGAGGAAATGGATAGCCTCAGTGTCTAGGAAAACTCGCCCGAGCGAGGCAGGAAGGGGAGTTTGCCTGACTGATTGGCACCTGGAAGGCAAGTGCAAAGGGCGGCGATGTGGGCTTCTCCTTGGGAAACAAATCAGCGAACCGAGGGCCGGGCCGGGCCGGCAGGCTCCCGCGCACCTCCCGCACCTGCCCGTTCTACCGAGCCCCAGGCGGCCCCTCGTGGACCCCGGATTTATTGACGTTGTTCGCATAGAACGAAATTTCACACGTCCGTCTGCTCTTCTCTTTCTGCCTCGCTGTCCTCCTGCCTGTCTTTCCTTGCAGCGAGAGCCTGGTGTCAGGTGGCCCAGAAGTTCACCGGCGGCATCGGAAACAAGCTATGCGGTGAGTGCCAGTGCCCGGGGGAGGGGAGCAGACTTGGCCAGGCGCCTCTGGGCCCGCGAGGGCAGAGCTGCCGTCTCACCTCCGCATCCCCATCAGCGGAGTCGCAGATTTTTGTCAAAGGATGGGCGCGAGCGAGGGAGCCGGGCCCCGCGGGTGGCTGACCGGCGCGCTCTGTGTCTTTCCCAGCCCTGCTCTACGGAGACGCCGAGAAGGCGGCGGAGAGCGGCGGGAGCGAGCCCCCGCGGGCCACCTCCCGGAAGGCCGCCTGCTCCTGCAACCAGAAGCCCTGCAGCTGCTCCAAAGCCGATGTCAACTATGCGTTTCTACACGCAACAGGTAAAGGCGTGTCGCGGGGCCCCCTGGAGCCACTGCCGCTCGCTCTGCCCCGCCCACCGCACTCAGGAGGGACCCGGCGCCGGGAGCCTAACCCGAGACATCCAGTTGGAGGGCGGAGGCGGACCTTATGAAAATCTTCATCTGAAATACGGAAACGCTAGGCTCGCCTCCTCGGTCCGAACCCGGATCCCAGCCTCAGCGTGGCGCTTGGTGCCCGCCTTCCGAGGGGTCTTTGGGGCCGCCGCGCTCTTTCCCCAGCGCCTCCCTCCGCAGAGCGTCGGGTCTGCGGGTGGCCGAGGCGCCCGCGCGCGCCGGAGCTCGACGTCGGCTTCTTGGTGCCGCTGAGGCCTCAGGTGGAACTCGGTTTCCAGCTCAGAATTGCTGAGACCTTCTAGGTCTTTAGATCACAAGAGTAATTTGTAGCTCCGATTTCACAGGAGAACGATTCTATTCACGAGAGACCTGCGCGCGATTTTACTCCCTTGCGCTTACACACCCAGTCACCCAAACACGCGCGCGCGCACACACACACGCACACACACGCTGACTTTGGAAACAGCGAGACTTCGTAACAGGCCAGATATCCTAACAGGGCATGTTCCACTTCTCCTGGTTGGCCCAAAGGCATTCCCCAAACATTTCTGACATGAAGTGTTTCCATAATCATCTAAGATGATTTACTGAGAAATAACATTTAGGACGAATCCTGTGAAATAGATAAATGCAAGCACACTCTCTTTAAAAAAGAAAGCAAACAATAAGTGATGAATTGAAATGCAAGAATTAATTTGGGGTGGGAGGGGAAATGTAATTTCTCTCGTTCCTTCGTCTTTGAAAAATACCTCCCCTTTAAGGAAAATGCTCTGCGTTTCCAAAAGCTTTTTTAAAAAAAAGAAAGAAACCTCTCAGTTCAAAGAGAAATTGTCGGGTCAAGATCTTACCTGGATATTTTCATAGTAAAATTAAAATGTGGCATTTTGATTCCATTCTTTAGACTTGCTGCCAGCTTGTGACGGAGAAAGACCCACTTTGGCGTTTCTGCAAGATGTTATGGACATTTTGCTTCAGTATGTGGTGAAAAGTTTCGATAGATCAACCAAAGTGATTGACTTCCATTACCCTAATGAGCTCCTTCAAGAGTATAATTGGGAATTGGCAGACCAACCACAAAATCTGGAGGAAATTTTGATGCATTGCCAAACAACTTTAAAATATGCAATTAAAACAGGTATTGTCCAATCAGAATAAAGCTTTTTCCTTTTTACAATTTTTTTCTATAAAAATATTTTGTTTTATGGAGTTACTAATATTTTCCAAATAAGAAAGTTATTTTTGTCACTTTTTAAAAAATAGTCCTTGTTAGAATTATTAAAATCAAAAGCATCCTTTACTAATGTGTTAACGCTTCTGAGATTGATAATATCAGAAACATTATCTAAGTATAAATGGTCAGATTTTGCCTTGCACGGATTTGGCGATGGAGATTAACCCCTGATCTAGAAGCAACCATTTGTCAGCAGAGGCCAGTTGAAGGGACCCAAAATGGAGCAAGGAAGGAAGTAAGTAAATCAAATCTCAAAAGATGTGATCTAAACAAAAGCCCAAATACCAATGTAGTGCTGGTAATGTCCTTGAGATAGAAATGGCCAGAAATTGGACAAACTATCCTATGTAATCACTGAACCAGACGAGTAATATTTTAACATTGTCTCAAATGGCCAAGACTCCAGATTTGAACTCTGGGTTTTCTCTATTTTTAAAGAAACACACACACAAAAAAACACAATACAAACTAGCCGTGTTACACAAGGATGTGTGTGCTTCATAGTCACTCTGTATATAAGATAAAGAAAAGGGGGGGAGGGGAATCAGATATCCTTAGGGGCAAATTTTTAAAAATCTGACTATTGCTTTTTCACAGTATTCTTCATACTTTGTCCATTTTATAGCCCCAGGTGTAACATTTATTTGGGTACATTCTAAGCTTTCATTTTATTTGCACAAAGTCAGCTATTCATCTCCTCAGGTCATGATTACCCCATTACTTCCTTTTTTACATTGTCTCTAATCATCCTGCTACATGGTGGCACTACACTTCATTAAAGCAATAAAAATAAGTATGAATGAATGTCTGGGAGAGACCTTGTGGATCCAAATTGATTTGTAGCCTTTAAAACATTTGCAAACAAATAAAAATGCAAAATACTACATGTACATTACTTACTATAAAAACTTGATCTTTTCATAATGCATATTTTTTGTTGATGAATTATCAGTATCATTCTAATCAACAAAAAGCATTTTAAGAATGTTTGCTCTGTGATTTTTAGCTCTTTTTTTGTTTTTTGTTTTTTGCACATTCTTTATACCAATAGAGAGGAAAGGTATGCAGAGAAGCAGCCTTAGGAAATTGATTTACTGTGCTATTATCTCATGTTTGTGAGAGTATAGGCTTAAAGGTAGATTCATAGGGAAAGGAATTCAACTAAGCTATTTCCATCAAACTCAGTCTGTGGAGTATGATTTTTGAAGAATTATTAGATATCATTCTCATTTATGTTCCTGAGGAACCACATGATGTATCTACTAGGCATTAACGATGTTTTTCCGCCCGGCTTTTCATCTATCTGTAGATGCAAGCAGAACAATACTTTTTATTCAGTTTTTTTGATCCATTCCCTTAACCCAATACTTAAATATGTTAATAGTAAATTGCTACCTGCTATTTTTATTGCTACCAAACCAAAAAGAATCTATAAAAATGTTTCATAGCTTCAGCCTTAGAAGCTGGGGCTGTCTGAAATGCAATTTAAAGAGTTAAGATCATGGGAATTGCAAGTCAATGAAAGTAATGGTTCTGTCTATCAATGTCCATTTCGTGTCAGGAACAGAGGGGCCAATTCAGTACTTAGATTTTGCCATAATGCTTGTGAAACTGTTAGTTCAGTGTAGCTCTAATGCATTACATTTAAAGTTCAGAAAAAAATATGACCGATTAAGTTGGATTTCTAAGCAAGGCATATCAATATTAATTCAATATCAATATTATTCATAACATAATCAGTCTTCTGGTCTTCCCCCCACCCCCACAAAGAATTAACAGCACACACCTCTTTTTGACTGGCACGTTTATACATTTTTGTGCTATAACTTGTATTTGACAACTAGTACTGTTAGGGTCTGTGAAGTAGTTACCATCCCTCCTATCATTAGGCATCTTAATGCTTCTTGGGAGATTCTTTAGTAAAATGCATATTATCATTTGCTTTCTACTGAGATGCCTTAACCTAATTTCCACTTGGGCTCCAAGCTTGCAGAGGAGTGAGGGGCAGTGGGGGAATACTTTAAAATGAAGTCTTCGTGTATTGTTAAATTTCTTTTAGAAATGCTGGAACGGAAAACTGCAGGGAACGATAGAATTCTGGAATAATTAGCGTTTGCGGGGGTGGAGGCGGGGAGGGGCGTCGTTGGATTTGGTGGTGGTGGTGGTTGGGGTGTAGAGGGATTGATGTTGCCTTGAGTTTTTTAACGGAACCATCAGACAAAGGAATAAATGAGGCGGTCCTTGCGTGTGTGTGGCCGGTACAAAGACAGCAGTTTGGGCCGACTGTTCGGGCCCTCAATTGATTGCGGACACCAGGCTCTGAGCTGCCTGGGGCTGATGGCAGGGGCTGCGCATCCTTCCTGGCTCCCTGGCCCATGGGGAGCGTCCCAGAGGCGAGAGCACCTTAATCTCACCTTTCAAACTCGCTGTCTCCCTGGCTGCGCAGGCAGCGCGTGACCGCCGGATTCCCCCGTCCCCCCCAGGGATGCTCACTGCTCACGCTCGCAGCACAGGGCCCGGTGTGGGCGGCAGCGGCAGCAGCTGGAAGTCCGGGCTGCTGGGCCAGCTGGCAGGCTCCAGTGCAGGTCTCTCACACCCTTTCTCTCAAAGAACCCTGCCTGGATTCCCCAGCAGCCTGTGGGAATCAAGGGGAGAGAGCAAATATAATATTTCTACCAAAATCAAAAGGAAACGTTGGTCTGACTTGTCAAACTCTCTCCCTCCATATTTTCACATCATTATCAGCGTACAAAAGTTTTGAGGCAGGAAAGAGTCAAGTGAAAGGCAAACCAAGGTCAAAAAAATATATTGAAGAAGGGAGCCAAGCAATTAAAGCATCAAACTTGTTTCCACGGTTTCCCATAGGTAGTCTTTGGGGTGGATTTGGCCGTCCGATATCCTGGACGCAGCACACGCTGTGGGATCCCTCTCCATTTTTGTGCAGAGGTTTTTATGCCAAAGTTTCCATAGAGTTGAATAGTGTGTGATAATAGACGCCAGATTCATCCAGAAAATGCAGATGAATGGAGAGAGTAGATTAATGGATAGATTGGCTAATCCTTATTAATTTCCTCGCTGTAAAGAAATGACTTAAGGAAAGAAATGAAGGGGCATCAGGAGGGAGAAGATGGCTATAATTTCAGCTGTGAGCTCTAATGAAATGGGGAGTCAATGAGGCAGAGAGGAGTGGAGGGTTGTTCCAGGTGGCAGCAGCAGCAGCAGCAGCAAAGAAGGCTGTTCCACTTTCTGTGGATGCGTAAACTGATGGGGTCAGCATCAGCCAGCCTGGAAAAGAGCAGAGCTAGAAGGCCATAGGAGGCAAAACAATGCCGGAGAATGAGCGAGAGCTGCACAAATCCCAATCCCTTTAAAGCAGGCTCTTTCCCAGCTCTTATCTTTTCTCAGTGTCTAATTGTCTAGCCACATGCCTGAGGCAGATAAGAGAGCACTCCATCCTGGAGATAAGCCTTGTGTTGACTTTTGTCCCTGCTCTCCCCATTGCCTCCCTTTATCTTGTGTGACCCTGCTGGCATGAGAGACTATCACATCCCCCAGGTTTCAGACAGGTGTCCAGTAAGTGGTGGATGCCTTTTTATCAGATGCTATTTCCATAATTGTTCATCTTCCAAAATTTTTGCTGCTAAGCCAATCATGGATTTATAGATAGGCTTTTATGGGGCAAGACAAGGAAACGGAATTCTAATGAGATATTTATCATCACATTTTAAATAATAGCCTCAGGAGTATTGGGATGTCAGCCCCTTTAGAGAGTTTGAGAGAAATCCAGAAGTTAATTCGATAAGCCTTGTTAGTGGACTGATCAGTCCATTGACTATATCTTCATGTATCTTGTTGACAAGACAGTGACGTTGACTGCATTCAGCTTTATTTTAAATCATGACTATGAAGGAGTTCTGCTGTTTATAATCAAATATTTGGACAGAAAAGAATTGACAAGAATTAGATTTGTCCATGCCTTCTTTAGACAATCATCACCTTTTGAATCCAGGGCAAACCACTCAGCAGAGTGTCCTATTTTCTCATTTGTGCCTTGTCTTTTGTAATCATCTGCTATTTGTCACTGATATTATTATGAATGTTGGCATGCCTAGCGGATGTCATGGTATGACTGAGTCCCAGAAAAACTTCAACAAAAAGGAAGCATGAGTGTAAACAAGAAGTAGCCTGGCTTTGAATAGCTTTGGATTACACTAGCATTTGAGTTTGTAAATATGTTATATTGCAATATATTGAGTTTGCAATATATTGAAAGAAGCGGTAGGAAATAAACTAGCATCCACATTGCAAACCACATTTTTATAGGGTATGTTTAAAGGAAGATTTTTAGAATGTGTTTTAAGAAATACCAAATCCCAAAATAGTTTGTCTTGTTAGAGGAAATACTCCTTTGGGTGGGGGTGTGTGTGTGTGTGTGTGTGCATCCTGGGTTTTTGAATATGGATTTCCTGTCACTGAAGGATCTTTCAAGGTTCTTTAGCTAGAGAAGATGTGTTCAAGAGGCATTTATTTTCACTGGATGCAGTCCTGATTCTGGTGTTCCATTGTATTCAGGGCATCCTAGATATTTCAATCAACTTTCCACTGGACTGGATATGGTTGGATTAGCAGCAGACTGGCTGACATCAACAGCAAACACCAACATGTGAGTAGCTAAATATGGTTTTGTGTAATCCAGGATAATTATTAGTAACATTCCATAGTCTTTACCTCTTACGTGAAAATCTCTTTTATTAAGTAGTCCCCGAAATAGTGATATGAACTTCAGAAGTATGTGAGTGTTGTTCTACCTTACTAGAAAATAGTACTGGTGTATTTGTAATGCAATAAAAGCTATGCAAAAAATTTTAAACACAGAAGCGACTTTCTTTTTTTTGCATTTTGGATTTATAATTATGTATTCTGTGAATGAGAAATGAGACCAGATGTTGTCTTTTAAATAATGTTAATCTGCAATGTTCTTTCTTAATTCAATATGATAAATGATCCTTATGCATTAAGCCAATAATTGAAGCTCTTGACTTTCGGGATATAGAAAAATGAGCAAACCCTTTAGAAGACATAATTTTCTCTGTGCCGAATGCTATTGTAACGTTTGTGAATGTAGGCTTTGAAAAAGGAAATAGTTCTGTAGATATTGAAATGGTGAATTATTTCTTTTGGTTACATACGTAAAATGTGGCCATTACTACATTTCAGGTTCACCTATGAAATTGCTCCAGTATTCGTGCTTTTGGAATATGTCACATTAAAGAAAATGAGAGAAATCATTGGCTGGCCAGGAGGCTCTGGCGATGGAATATTTTCTCCTGGTATATGATATTTCCACTTCTCTCTGTGCTTTTTTCTTTTGACATGCAATACCTCATTGTGAACACAGGAACGATTGAATATCTACTCTATATTTCTGCTTAGGTTAAATAGGCTGTATGTTGATCAAGAGAATGAGTGGGATTAAGTACACAAGACCATTGAACACAGCTCCAAGCCAACTACCCCATGCTTGAATATTAATTGTTTGTGTTCAAAAAGAGCGTAAACAGAGATGATATTTACCCAGTACTTCTACTGTGATCCTACACAGAAGATGCATGGATCTTGTGGAACAAAGGAATAAAGATTCCTAATAAGAGAATTCACTCTCTGATGCTCTTCCCAGGATTAGTGACAGGAGAGGCGTAGCCTCATTTAATAAGGTGTTCTCTGTTTGAGGGTGTGTAATGAGGCAGATCCACTTAATAGAGCCTAGGTACCCTATTCCTTTCACGTAACAAGCAGAAAAGCTGATTTACACTAATTTCAAAGTGGGCAGAGAGTGCTTCCAGAGACAATTTCTTAGAGCTAAAAAAGAAGGTGATGATTTCTTCAAGAGGTTTCTCATTCCTTTTCTTCTTTATCATGACATTCAATCTTTTCCATCCTGTCATTGCATTCTAAGCTCCATTATTTACACCTCTTCCAGCTGAGAGAATCAACCTGAAACGAGAAGGCCTGCCCTTGGCTCCTGGGTCTGTGTGTGACCTTGGTTTGATGCAGAAAAGAAACAGAAGTTAGGAAGGCAGTGGGAAGAGAGAGTCACTGACCCGTGCAAAAGAAACCTGGTGTGCAGACTGTCACCAAATCAGTGGCAGGAGGGGGTGGGTACTTCCCTAGGGAGAGGTACTCTGAGATGGCCCTGCTGGGGAGGCCAGAGCCACACCTGCCATTGTGTCAGGCATAGCAAAGGCCAGGTCGTGACTCTCTTCAGCAAATCTGCAAAGACGAGGGGATGAGGAGAGAGAGAGAAAATAAAGGAAAGGCAAAAAGATGAAATGATAAATGAGCAACAGTGGCCTGAAGGCCAGTGCTTAAAGTAAGTAGCTTTACCTCCCAGATCAGATCTGCTATTTTATTTTATGTTTTTAAAGGTACAGCACATTTTCTCAGGTGCTGAAGGAAAATGTGTTAGTTAAATGGCAAGGAAAATTAACCTTTTTTTTTTTAAGTCACTGAACACCAGCTGTGATGAATTTTAAGCTAGCCTTTATTTTGTAGGGAATTCAGGGCTTAGTTTTCCTTTGGAAAACCATCCCCTGTTGAGGGAACTTTGTCATCATTGTCTAGAACTGATGATATTTTAAGATATTTTTCATGAGGAATTATGTAGTGTTCAGAGATCAACATCATTTCTACCTTTATTCTTCCTGCTCTTATAAGGCTGGTTGTGTGATTGAGCTGTCCCTGAGGGAACAAAGAGCATCCTGGGCTCTCTTTTAATGGTCCCAGGAGTGGGGAAAGAATAGCTTCTCCTGTTGACCCTGAAAAGTTGCCTAAGGGCGCTTAAGCCAGGCCTAATTTACCTGGCTCATCTTGGAACCCACCTGCCCCAGAAAATACACACCCAGAGAAAGAATCCTCTTGGCAGTTCTGCTAAGTCAGGCACGGACTTAGGGCCTGCCCTGCCACCCTCATCAATGATGGAGAATGATCAAGTAGAGGAGACTTAAGCTTGATCACCCACATGCTCTCACGCCAAGATAGAAGCCTTGGATGTCATGCTACAGTGTAATGTAGACATTGTAAAGTGAGGAGAGGACAGAAGACAAGGCCATTGGCAACCTGTTTCTGCTCCACTTTCTACAAGGCGTTACAGAAGGGAGATGGATTATAACATCTTTTTTAGCTAATGGATGGCTTTCTAGGTAGCGTCTAACCTTATTCCTAGTTTAGAGGATCTCACAATTTAATGACTGGGGATAGGAAATTCACACATCTTATGTGCCTGAGATCTGAAAGTCCCGCTGCCTAGGACTAAACATGAAGAGTTAGGTCTGTGACTTGAATATATAGCTCAGCTCAGGTTGCCATACACTTCCATCCATAACATCCAGAGGCTTCAAGCTTCGTGGAAAGTCCTTTGGGACTTCTAGAAGAAATCTGCTTGTGCTATGTCACCCACACCTGAGAGCCAGAAAGAACTGGAGCACTCTTCACTGCTCAGCAAGTCACGAAGGATTGAGGGGAAAAAAAGGGAAAGCTTGCTTAGTCACAAAGCTTTTCCTATCTAACAGGATTTTCAGAATGTCTCAGGTCTTGCTTGCGTATCCTTTGCCTGGAAGATTCACGGGAAATAAGAGCAGGCAGGGCTCATTTATCTGTCACATGCCTGTGTTGCACAATGCAGGCTGCTCTGTCCAGAGGCCCAGAAACCTCTTCATCCCTCTCAGGATTGCTGAACCTTTAGACAGAGAATGACTGAGGGGGGAGGCAGAGCTGGAGGTTTCTTGGATAATTGCACTGTGAAACCTGCTCTCTTTGTGTACATCTTTCCCTCTTTCTTCTGCCCTCCTTTCTCCCCAGCCTCTGTGAGAAGAACACCTAGGGTAGTAGTTCTCAACTGGGGGAAGTTTTGCCTGCCAAGGGACATTTGGCAATGTCTGGAGACATTTTTGGCTGTCACTACTGGGATGGGGGGCGTAGTGCTACTGGCATCTGGTAGGTAGAGGCCAGGGATACTGCTAAACATCCTAGAGTTCACAGGACAGCCCCTCCACGAGGAATTACCCAGCCAGGAATATCATTAAGTGCCAGGACTGAGAGACCATGAGCTAGAGTGGAAGACCCTTTAAAAGCTGGTCCCCCCCAGCAGCATCCTACACAGTCAGCCTCTTAGATAGGGTGCCTACTCAGAGCAGGCCTGACCTGGATTCTGCTTGTCCCAAGTCTCCAGGGTCCAGAAGAGGTAGGAATTGGCCTTGTTCTGACTGATGACGGAGCCAGGATCCGGGTGATGGAGCCAGCCTCTATATCAGGCTGCCTGCTTGCATCAGTGCCCAGGGGTCATGAGGGAAAACTTGTTGCCCTGCGTTGGCTATTCAGCTTGGCTCAGAGAGCCCTTCCACTCCTCAGCCACCAGAAGGGAAGGGAACACAAAGCACCCACATGTTGGCAAGACCTGGGTGCATCCCCCTTTGGGTGAGAGGGGGAGATAGTACCTTCAATCTGTCTCATGGTCTTACAACTTCCATGCCTGTATATTCATCTGCATTCACAACAATCTGTCTTTTCCCCTGATAGCTAAAATCCTAAACTTTTCAACAATCTTGGAGAAAAGCTCACTTTTTTTGCTTGTCAAATGAGACTCTACTTATAAAATACTAATCTTATGGTATGAAATCCTTGACAGTCTTAGGGCAACACAGGAAAAGAAATTCAAGATGAACTTAAAATTCCCTTAGTTGTGTGTTTTCCTGTAATTATGAAATAAAGTTTTGTTAATGAATACAATTATATTTCAACGATGTCTTGGAGAGGGAAGAACTGTTTGGGGGGAATTAACAGACGACTATGATAAGATGGGCTTAGATGTGTATCCTCATTCTATAAAAATTGTTGAGTTATAGTGCACGTCATGAACAGCAACTCATTTGTCTCAGTCTAAGTGCAAGGCATTGCATGAGCTGAAACAAAAAGAAATGTCTTCTCCATCAGGATATAAGTGGAATTTTCACAGGCTTAATGCAGAATGACCGTACTTGCAAGCTGGGAAGGAAGGCAACAATTTCTTAGTTCTTAAAAACCTCTTCAAAGGGCTTCCAGCAAGAGCAGCATCAACTGTAGATCCCCTTGGTGACAGACATGGAGTGCGGAGATGAGGTAGCATCTGCCCTGTGTTGGTCCCGATGCTCCTTCTCTGGACCCTCTTAGCTAGTGCCTGAGTCTGAGGATTCAATTCAGAGAATAGTCAATAAGGAGGTTTTCTGTATCCCAGGAGGCCTCTGGGTCGGCAGAAATAAGGAATGTGTCTTGCATGTGAAGTGACATTGATAATGACTAGAAAAGGTAACTGTGTGTTGCTGTGCACTTTAGGTGGCGCCATATCTAACATGTATGCCATGCTGATTGCACGCTTTAAGATGTTCCCAGAAGTCAAGGAGAAAGGAATGGCCGCTGTTCCCAGGCTCATTGCCTTCACGTCTGAGCATGTAGGTGTTTCCGTTCTTTCCAAGTTTAAGGATATATTCTGTAAAGCCTGAGCTGAAGGAATGGTATTTGGAAGAGCTTTATCCCCAGAGGTTCTCTTTCCAGAAGATGCTTCTTGGGAGAGAATGAGGGTAAAATGAGATGTCCTCCTTTCTTTCTGAAATTCAGGAAAACCCTCAAAGAGAAAGCAGAATGCTTCTACCCCTAGTTCCTACACTTCGTTTTTCTGTAATAATGTTGCATGTTGGGGGAAGGGAAGGAGGATAGAGGGCGGAGTGATTATGAGCTCATTTGAACCACTGATGCTGTACCTACATTACTCAAAACTCCAAAGTATCCTGTTGATGCAGTCTTTCTGTTTGAAAACTCTGATCAGATATTCTACCTCCATGGTGCTTGAACTATTTAATGTTAACCTTTGGCAGATTTAACCAGAAGTTTTATTGCTGTAGAGAAATGGCCTAGTGGTCTGTCACATCCAATCTCTGGGCCAGATCTGCCTCAGCCAAGCACAGTCTCCTGCCTACTGCCAGGCTGCTGGCCAGGCAGGGCGCCGAGAGCTTGGGTATTCCAGGGCATAGTACTTCGTGTTCCTTCCCTGGCTTTCAAAGAGTTAATGCCATTCTCCCTATGACCACTGAGGCATTGAGACAAAGGCCCATCTTGTTCACATAAATTGAGCTAAACAGCTTCAGCCTGCTAGGCTTTCTAGCTTTCTCTCACTTGCCGGGGTAAAGCAGCACACAAGCTCAAAGCCCACTGTAGCTGTTGGAGCAACATCTTGGTTCCAAACTCTCCTGCCACACAGGCCCTGCAATGGACCAGAGACCTGTTCTTGAAAGGCGTATGTAAGCATGACCTGGCGTGTAATTCCTAAGATGGTTCCTTCATGTTCTCTCCGTCAGAGTAGCTGAGGGTCTGGAGGACAGTTGCCTCAAAGATCAAGAAGCTCTCTGATGGTGGGGGAAGTAGAGATGGGGAGGAGAAAGAGGGGTCTATAGGGAGACTAGAGACAAGGGGACATCAGGGGAAGCGGGGAGTCATAGTGGACCTCAGATCGACTACAGAACTTTTCTTTTTCCTGTTTCAACTGGTTGTGTGTGTGTGTGTGTGTGTGTGTGCGTGTGTGGAGCTTCATAACAGGGAAACAAAGAGCAAGTACAGATTGGAAGCCAGTGAATACAATTCACAACCATAGCAGTAGCCATGGAATTAAAGGAAACTAATGATTTATGTTAAGAAACTGTCTTTAAACATCTTGGTTTTAGTCATGTTTGAGTATTTTATTTTTTTAATGCCCTTCCTCAATTTATAGGGGTAAAATTTAGCAGAGAAGACTACAGCCTGAAACCACCTGATGTTTTATTTTCCTATTGCTGCTGGAACAAATCACCACAAACAGTGGCTTAAAACAACATGAATTCATTATCTTATAGTCCTGGAGGTCAGAAATCTGCAATGGGTCAGGCAGGGTTGCATTCCTGCTGGAGATTGTAGGAGAGGTCCTTTCCCTTGCCTCTTTCAGCTTCTAGAGGCTGCCTGCCTTCGTTGGTTCCTGGACACTTCCTCCATCTTCAAAACCAACAGTGTAGCATCTCAACTCTCTCTCTCTCTCTCTGTCTGACCTCTGCTTCTGTCAACACATCTCCTTCTCTGGCTCTCACTCTCTCATCTCCCTCTTTCCCTTATAAGGACCCTTGTGATTGCATTGGATCCACCCAGATAACCCAGAACAATCTCCCATCCCAAGATCCTTAATTTAATCACATCTGCAAAGTCCCTTTTGCCATGTCAGGTAACATATTCATAGGTTTTGGGGATTAGGATGTGAACCTCTTTGTGGGGGAGGGCATTATTCAGTGAACCAAGCCTGACACCCCACCAGGAGATAACTTTCCTTTCTCAGCTTCTCCAAGGGATCCTTGATGTGTAATGACCCCCAGTGACCTCTGTTTAATATTCCTCCACACACACTCCATTCACTCCACCCACAAAGGGGAGGAGTGTTGGTACAAAAAGATCGAGGCCAAGGACAATTGATAGACCTTAGAGCTAGAAGATAGAGCTTTTGATTTAATAATAGATAGAAGGGTTAAGAGCTAAGATTTCCAACCTAGTGTGTCCTTTTTCTTTATTTGAAGTCTGGGTTGCTTCTTCCTTCCCCTAAGCAGCTGTTCTGGCTAGAAGGGCCTACAACTGCTTCTTGCTTGGGAAGGATCCCAGCTGAGGCCTTCTGGGGTAGGTGCCAAGAAGGTCTCTGGACGTGCTTATAGAACAGGCATTTGATTAGAGACATTGGCATCCATTTAGTCCACCATCCTTCATCCCCAGTCACCAAAGCCACACCTCAACATTGGGATTTGTGGCCAGAGTTTATGGCAATAAATAGTGAACATTTTCCTGGACTTGTTCTCTGAGCATACAGTCAAATTCAACAAATGCTTGTTAACTGTATACTACAACAAAGTGTTTGCCCTTATGCAGCCTATGTTTTAGTAAGGGACAGACAGTAAAATAATAAATATTTACTCTGATATCATGTGGTGACAAGAGAGAGGGACGGTCGTGGGCTATTTTACAAGATGGTCATAAAAGGTCTCTCTGGAGGTGATATATAGCAGAGACCTACCTTGAACAAGGGAGGGAGCCATCTAAATATCTGCAGGATGGTTTTCCAAGAAATGGAACAGCAAGCACAGAGGCCCAGAGGCAAGATCAAGTTAAGCAAGCTCACAGAAGATGAGGAAGACCGCTACCACCAGATAGAGAGAGGAGGGGAGGAAGGAGACAAGGTGAGAGAGGTAGCTGGGGACTGAGGGCTGTCTTAATCATCTCTGTGTCCCCTGAGCCAGCAGAGGCTTTCCCTGAAACCCTGTGGTCCTCTAGGGAGTTGAATGTAAGTTTCAGTTAAATATCTGGATGTGACCAACAATAGCTTGAAAGAATTAATGCAGCTTTCCACACTGCTTATCTAAATTGTAGTAGAGGCAGAGAAACAGACATGTCAAGAGACTGAAGTGGCTGGTCCCAGAGCTTTCTACCATTCTCCTTACTCTCCCACCATCCCTAAAGGCAGGTAAGATTGATCGTCCCCATTTAAGAAGGAAGGCGCTGCCATGCACCCTCCAGACATGTGGCTGGATGGAATGGCGGAGCTCATGCCCCTGGCCCAGCCTGTGGGCTCTCCTTCTCACGCATTCTTACTCTGGATACTCTCATCCCACTCCAACCCAGAAAACCTGCTTATTTTTTCAATTACAGTTAGTTTATGTCTATAAAATCCCACACTTATTTGCACGTATTTTAAATGTCAGCGGAATCATGTAGCCTGTATCTAGATTACTTATGATTTTTTTAAAAGATAGAGAAATTAATCTTCCATCAACCTTGAATTTTTAATTTAGTATAAAATAAAAATCATATGGGTTCTAATATCTATTACCCTTGAATAGAAATATGTTTTGGTTCTAAATAAGCACTAGATTCTATCAGGAGTCTATTGTTATTTTTCTAAAATCAGGGTGGGGGAGGTAAGTGGGCTGTTCGTTAGCTCATTCCCCAGCTATTCTATTGATGAACATCTGGCTACAAGAGTCTTGATGATTTGGGGACACATCTGAATCCTTGTAGCTTCCAATGTTTCTTCATAGTTTCGCCTTCTGAAGCCACCCAGAGCAGTCTATTGCTCTACTCCCGCTTTAACACAGCCCTTCGGATATGAAGGTCACCCATGCCATGTGTCCCTCATGCCCTCTGCTCATGACCAAGCATCCTCTGGGCTCTCTCTGGACACCTGGTTTCCAGGCTCCTCAGCATCCAGGAGGTTTCTGTTCAGATGCTGCTCTGCTCTGATTCATCAACAAATGGTTCCATGAAACATGGTGCCAAGGATTAAAAACGATTCTCCAAGTGTTGTCTCACCAGCAGAGAGACATTCCATTTAAGCTGTCTTCACTTTTTCTTGCTCATTAGGTAGTACCTTTTTTTTCTCCCTAGTTCTTTCCTCTCCATGGGTCCCTTGCTATTTCTGGATAGCATTTAGCTATTTCCCTCCTCCTTTTCCTGAAAATAATAAACAGATGCAGTGTTCGGTACCTAATTTTCTTTTTCATGCCTCATATCACCTTTGTTCCCCGTCTTGAAGCTTTCTATTTGGGCATGTGTTTTTCTTTAAGTATGCGGCATTTGGAACAGTGATCAATTATCCTAGGTAATTGCTCCTCATTTGAGATTCCCTATTCTTTCTCATTAAAGACCAGACAAGACTACTTCCTCTCATTGACCAGGTGCGCCAGATCTCTTACTTATCCCCAATTTGCCATTTGGCAGTTTAGTGCTTACGAGCTTGTTCACTGAGGGGCCTAATTTGAGTAGCTTGTGCTTGCTCAGTGGGGCAGCTGGCTCCTCTGTTCTGTGCCCTCCTGGCAGTGACAAAATTAGCACCATTTTCCCCTGAGCTCCTCCCCTTCAGGGTGGCCCAGGGATCTGCTAACTATGCAAGAGAGAACGCTTTTTTTTGGTGGGGAAATAATGCATCTTTCCAAACCCAATTAAGCTTTCTCTCCCAGTTTCCAGGTATCTTGGTAAGGATTGTCCACTTTGTCTTTCTGAGCTTGTAAAATGAGTCTAATGGCTCTTTCTCATTACTTCTTAGCTACACTGGGCTTTTTAAATGCCTCTAGTCAGTGCCTCATTTACTGGTTTACATTATTTGCTGCTGTTATAAATATAATTCCTTCTGGCTTATGAGACACACTCCCAAAAATATGTGTTAACAGTTCCTATGCTGCCTATTTAAAATTTCAGATGAGTCAAAAGTGGGCATTCAAAAAGAGGTACTCTCTGGAAGCGTAACTTAAAATTCCAGTCAGCAACCCTTTGGAGATGTAAATTGAGGAAGCGGCTCTCTCTTTGGACAGCTTAATGATCTGTAGTTAATAGTAAGAGGCTGCTGGGCAGATGCAGGACAGCTGGGCTTAGGTTAGCCTTTCCCAGCTCTCCAAATTGCACAGTGATTACAGCCATTGAGATTCAGAATCCTACCCAGAATCAATAACCAAAAGCACAAACAAGGATTTAGCAGTAGCTTGTGAGTGTGGGCTTTTTCCACATGCTGTTCTGCCCAAGCCAGGCCCTGACACCTCCTGAGCCCACCCCAGGATGGGCAATCACCCGCACAACAAATAGCCCCTCCAGCAAGTCTGGGAGGGAGTGCTGGATTTAAGGCCATTTTCTCCTCCTACTTGAGTGCACACAGTTTCACTGAACTTGAGAGAAACTGAGTGTAATCTCTTGGAAGCAGAATATAAGTCTGAGAGCCATACAATACATAGCTGCTGGAGGCAGTTGATGTGTTCTTACGCCTTATATGTGAAATTGGCTTGGATTACTGTGTGTTGGGGTAGCAGGTCCATTTACAATTTTTAGTCTTGTTATCTTCACTCAAAAGCCCAAGTGAATTCAAAACAACAACAGAAACAAACAATCCTATTTAAAAATGGGAAAGGACTTGTATAGACATTTCTCCAAAGAAGACATACAAATGACCAATAAACACACGAAAAGATGCTCAATATCGCTAATCATTAGGGAAATAAAAGCAAAACCATAATGGGGTATCACCCCACACCCATTAGAATGACTATTATCAAAAAACAGAAAATAAAAACTGTTGACAAGGATGTGGAGAAATTAGAGCCCTTGTGCACTGCTGGTGGGAATTTAAAATGGTGCAGCTGCTATGGAAACAGTATGGCAATTCTTCAAAAATAGAATTACCATATGATCCAGCAGTTCCACTTCTGGGTATAAACCCAAAAGAATTCAAAGCAGGGCTCAAAGAGATGTTTGTGCACCCACGTTCATAGCCAAAAAGTGGAAGAAGCCAAGTATCCATTGGTGGATGAATGGAAAAACAAAATGTGGTGTATATATACCATGAATATGATTCAGCATTTAAAAGGAAGGAAATTCTAACGCATGCTACAACCTGGATAAAACTTGAGCATCTTATGCTCAGTAAATAAGCCAGTCACAAAAGGATAAATACTGTATGATTCCACTTATATGAGGTACCCAGAGTAGTCAAATCCATAAAGGTAGAAAGTAGAATGGTGGTCGTCAGGGGCTGGTGAGAGAGGAATGGGGAGACGTTGTTTAATGGGTACAGAGTTTCAGATTTGCAAGATGAAAAGAGTTCTGGAGATGGATATAGTGATGGTTGCACAACAGTGTGAATGGACTTAAGGCCGCTGAATCATATACTTGAAAATGGTTAAGATAGTAAGTTCTATGTTATGTGTATTTCATCACAATCAAAAAAATAAATAAAATCCCAAGTGAATGATACCATCTTCTTTCAGCAATCCAGGCTTTGGAGGGACAGGTTAGAAATAAAAGGAGAAAACAATAAAACAGCTGAGGGTGTGGATCCTGACTTTACGTACAACTAATTACAAATATGCTTTTTCTCACAGAGTCATTTTTCTCTCAAGAAGGGAGCTGCAGCCTTGGGGATTGGAACAGACAGCGTAATTCTGATTAGATGTGATGAGAGGTAAGCACGAATCTGCAACCCTTTTTGGTTAGTGACTTGCAAATTCCACACACCTACCTTTTAGTCCCAAAACAGGGATGACTGTCGGGCAGCAACCCTACCTCCATCCTGGCCACTGCCATTCTCTGTTTCTCTTTCACTTGGCCTCTTGCTTGGAGTCCTGGGACCTTGCTCCTCAATGCCATGGAGGCTTTCCCATTCTTTGAATCAGAACCTTTGTTAAATCAATGAAAAACTTCTGCACCAAGAAGGTGCAGAAGGATATTCATCACCTGGGCACTTAAGCAACAACCAGCATTCGAGCGCTGATTTATGGAGGTGTCATCATTCTAGGCACCATGGATTATGTGAACTTCATGGAGTGATTACAGCAGGGGCGACAGTTTAGTGAGCAGGAGGTAAATAATGCCCCAGCAACTCATCAGCTTTGTGCTGGATCCAAAGAGCTCTCTTAGGGAAAATCCCTGTCTTAATTGGCACCCAAACCTCCTAGGTACTCTGGAAATGGGTGTAAGAGAGATTAAAAGGCATTTCCAGAATATCTGTGGACATTTTCTCTAGCTTATTGCCCTGGAACCTATAAAAAATTAAATTCAGTCTTTAAGGAATTGAATAAGAAATTTCACTATATTAAAAGGAAGCCACTCACTTAACCATCTCTTTATTCATATGTACTTATTAGGTAGACATTTTTGATTGCCCAGCATGTCATGAGGCTCTGGAAAAGCATAAGGTCAAGGTGGGGAGATGTGGTAGCATCAGAAGGAGACAGATCCATGGCTGCCTTGCATGGCACAGAGGACATATTCTATCCATGGGTAGTTTGGAAGGCTTCATGCGGCAGGAGGGCCTTAAGCTGGATTTTTAAAGTTAGGGATGACTTGGATGGGTGGAGGGGAAAGTGGGAGCAATTCCAGGAGACCAAATACTACAAGCAAAGCCACAGAAATAGGAATGAGCTTTCGGGGCTCAAGGAGCTGGGCCTGACCAGAGGCGTTGCGGGGAGGGGACAGCCATGGCAGATTCCATTGGCCACCGGGGATTTTGCAAGCTCAGAATCCAAACTGATGAATAAGCATGTCTCCCTCTGGGAGGTAAAATTACAAGGGCTTGTCACTTTCTTCTTCACACTTTATACGTTGCCTGATTTTGTTTAATTGTTTGCAATGAACATATTCATTTTACAATTAAATCCACGTGGTTTTACTTTTTCTTTTGGGGGGAAAAATGCTTAACTCAGCCTTTGAGCTTGATAGGTTTGGAAACAGGATAACTTGCAGGCATTTTTATCCAAGAAGGCATGAATGAAACCACCCTTCAGGGAGCAAGGAAGAGGAGAGATTTGGGTCGTGATGCCGGGTGAGAGGCTGCGGCATGAGGCGGGTGTGAAATGACAGAGGACTGGAGTGAGGGGGACACCTTTTGAAAAAGAATCTGCCTTGTATTTTTAAGGCTACCAGTGTTTGTCACTATCAGGTACTTAAGAATTGAGATTTGAGAAGAAAACTGGCACACAAAAAATATTACTAGCTGGGGGTGAAGGTTTAGATGACTTTAAATTTCTTAATCTTTAGCCAAACTGTTATATGTAAGGAGCCCAGAATTCAGGGAAGAATCACGTAGACAGGCCCTCTCTCCCTAACCAGCTTAGTTAGCAGGTGTTCCTTGAGTTGAACCCCAGTGGCTGATAGATGAGCTGGGAGAATGAACGGAGGGGGCCCTTGACTCCACTCCTTATGGCATCAGTATTGCTGCTTCCGCTCCTATGAAAACCAAGTAGTGACAATGGGAGTGGCCACGGGATGCGTCCACCAGGCCAGCCAGCCAGCCAGGTATTCATGGGAGCCAAAGCCTGACCTGAGGACAAGTGACTTTCTGGAAGCAGCATCATGCCCCAAAGAGAGGTGCAGGCCGGTAAGAAGGAAGAACAAGAAGGAAAAGCAAAAGAGTTGCAGGGAAAGGGACCCCAGACAGGGCTGCCAGGACAGAGGCCAAAAGGTGCCTGTCCTTCACCCATAGCAGAGAAAGGAGCAGAAAGTCGAGAATGCTGGAAAACCACAGGGGTCTAAAACCAGTGACTGGCCAGGTGGCCTCAGATTTTAAAGTCAAAGAATTTTATTTCAACAATTTTAGAAGCCCTGAGAAAAGCTAAAAGACAATGCTAAAAATTATTGGTGTTTCAGAAAATACCTCACTGTCCACTGCCCCTCCATCGGCATATGCGCCCATTGGGAGGGTACAGAGGGAAGGAGGCCATCAGGCAGCTAAGGCTGGGGGGGCTTTCTCCTTCTGCTCATGAGCCTTGTGGGATGGGAAAAGAGGAAGAGGAAGAAGACAGAAAAAAGGAAAGAGAAAAAAAGATAACAAATAAAAGATGTGAGAAATAAGGCTCAGGAGAAAGAAATTTGTGGTGGAAATGTGACGTGAAGCAAGGACGAGGGGCATACTGGATGGAAATATAGGTGGGAGCAGGAACAGTTGGTTGAGCTTGACAGGTTTGGAAACAGGATAAAAAGGGATAAATGATCATTTTTACTTTCTAAAAAGCAATACATGCTTACTTTAAAAAAAATAATAGAAAATAACATGGAAAATCATAGTTCCACCAACCAAAGATCATTACTAATACCACACTAGTGTCTAAAAATCTCTTTTTAAGCATTAAGCTTTGTTCTTTTTTCTTCTTTTTTTAATTTATGTATTTGTGATCATGTTTCTTTTTCTAACTAGACATGCAACATAAATGTTTTTCCATGTTATTACAAACAAAAACACACTTCACTACATAGTATTTGAGGAGTGACGATGTCAGAAAGCACGTTAGTATTTGGAGGAGCTGGCTCTGGAGCTGGACTGTTGGCAATCAGGCCTCAGCTCCAGCACCAGCTCGGCAAATGGCTCTCTGTGCCTCCGGTTCTTTACTGGAAAAAAGGACAAATAATGGCATCTGCTTCATAGGGTTGTTCTGAAGATTAAATGTGTTGGCAAACGTAAAATGCTAAAAATGACACCTAGAACAGAGCAAGCACAAACATCAGACCTCTCCTGCACGTGTCCCTGTTTGGGTGTTGCTGTTATAAATAACCTTTCCATCCTTCAGTGAACATTCTGATGTGCCCAGGGATTCTCCATTTACGATTATTTCTTAGTATAATTGCGAACACACTATATGAACATTCTTAAGGAAGGTGATACATCAGGCCAAATTGCCTTTCCAAAGGTTTCATCAATTTATTTTCCTAGCAGTATTGTATGAGAGCATGTTAAAAAAGAAAAAATTAAAGCTGTATTGTAGTTATGTGTAGTCTTTAATTCTATGTTGACAATTCACATCATCTGTGTAGCATGAGTTTAAGGCTGAGAGCCTGGCCTAGACAGCTTAAGTGAAATTGAAGTGTTTGGGGTCAGGAGCCAAGGAGAAGGGCTTAGACAGTCGTTTGTAGCCCCCATTGCAGTCAGAATCAGTGAAAACACTCTTGGCAGCCATTTTGTTTCTATTACCATGTCCTTGTGAAAGTCAGATGGGCAGTTCAGAAAATCACTGAGGCGGACGGGGTGGGTATCTACATTCTTGTTCCTCCAATGTGCTTTGCAAAGTCCATCCAGGCTTTGCAAAACATGAACCTGGACCTCCTCTCTGAGGCTTTCGTTTTTTACAGTTACTCTTTCCAACTCTGCACGCAGTCCATCAGTGCTGGGGTTTTATCTGGTCTGCAGACAGTTGACTTAGTAGGAAGCTCATAGTTGAAGGCAACATCCTAGTGAAGGAGAACCGTCTATGCCTTTCTAACAACAAGCCCAAAGCCACATGTGGAAGAAGATTCCACGAGATCGGGTCCCGTAATTAACAATCACAGGGCTCAGTTCAGTGACCCGTTCAGAGTGAAATGTGGCTCTCAGTTAAAATGAAGAAAGAGAAACAAAGAGTAAATCTTCATTTGTTTGGAATACGTTCTCTCAGAGTTGAAAATCAAAAAGCATTTTAATTTTGTTATATATACACTAATAAGTAAAACAAGATAAAGTAATGGAAAACTCAGTTCACCATGGCCTACACGTTAATGGAAGTATTATAACTGAAAAGAGTATTCTATTTTGTAAAAATTAATTATTAAATTCAAAAGAGGAAAATGTGGGGCCGGCCAGGTGGTGCAGTGGTTAAGTTCATGTGCTCCACTTCAGTGGCCCAGGGTTCGCAGGTTTGGATCCCAGGCACGGACCACGCTGTGGCAGCATCTCATGTGAAAGAGAGGAAGATTGGCACAGATGTTAACTCTGTAGCAGTCTTCCTCACAAAAAAAGCAGTAAAATAAAAAATAAATAAATAAAGAGGGAAATGTGTGAAATGAATCCTTCATTTTATAAGTTCTAGTTTAAGAGCTCCCTTTCCTTGTTAGCAACAAGTTGAATATTCACAGTGATGAGGTTAATGAATTTTACTTATGTTGTTGGGTCTCACATTTGCAAAATTTAAATTAGTGGAATCTAAATTAATTATGCATTAACGTATCTAAGGATAGAGAAGAAAAGTCTGAGCTAATATCTAAAGGAAAATAAATATTTGTGAAAGAAAACTGAGGGATATTTCATAATTGGATTAGGCCACTGAACAAAAGGATTTTTCCCAAAGTTTCAGTCAGGCGAGGATGGAAAACTTCTCTTCTGTGGATGATAATTTGGGAGAATACAAAATTCTGTAAGATGGAAGAGGGTGCCCTGTGAGCTACTTCTTTTGGCTGTAGGCAGTGGCCTTGGTTGGAAACACAGTGGTGGACAAGGTGGGCATAGTCACAGATGCTGCAAAACTTAGTCAGCAGAAGGCAGTGCAGAAGGCAGGCTGAAACACACAGAGGCCATGGCATGTTCTAAGCCATGCATGTGAGAGAAGTTGGCTTGTTCAAGGAACTGAGAAGAACTTCTGGAGGGAAGTGGTCAGAATGTCCTTGTCATAAAGCACCTTATGAGCCATACTGAGTTGTTTGGATTTTAGGCTGAAGACA